AATCTGTGTTTACCTCAGGAACGGCCCCAGCGATGGCGCTTTACCACAGGAATGGCCCTGAAAATGGGTCTTTACCCCTGAGATGGCCTCCAAGTGTGCCCTGAGGCCCTGGGGACAGTCCTTTGCCTCAGGTATGGCCCCAGCGATGGGACTTTACTACTTTACCTCAGGGATGGCCACGTGGCAGGCGGCTTTGATAATTTTCCCTCGAATTCTGCAGCCTTTCATTTGCCCCCAGCTCTTGTTTTCTATTTTAAAGCCTGGTAACTGCTATTCCGCTCCCTTGTAGGTAATTGCGGTGCTGGAGCACAGACTCATCTGTGTTTTTGGACACCCCCTCGCTGGTGTTGTCAGGCCCGGGGATCTCTCCCAATTCCGTGACAGCTTGAGCTTTCCCAGAGCAATTTGGGCTTTGAATACACAAAGTTTTGTAGCGTTTTAGGTGCCGTTTCCTCTGTTCTATTATTAATGCACGTCAATTATTGCTCTTCTAGACCTTGATCTGTGTAAATCCCGACTAAAGATACTTGTAAGTTGGTTTTTTTCCTTTCTCCGCCTTGCGTGGGACCTGCTCGGGTAAAGGTTGGAAGCGAGATGAAGGGCAGCCGAGCGCGTGTTTGTGCCCGGGAGGCCGACAGAATTGGGAAGCTTATTTTTTTTCGGATCTTCAATTGGACTGGACCTGCCCTGACTATCAATAATACATGACCTGGGCTTTCTGCACCGAAACTCTGCTAATTGGCTAATTAAAAAGTGAAACGTGCAGAAGGAGCCAACGCTTCGCTCACAAGAGACTCTTTCTGCAGCAGCACCAAGGCTGAGCCTGTGCTAATGCGATTTATAAAACCGAGCCGGGGGTGAGCGAAGCTCTGGGGCAGTCTCAGGAGCCGAGCGGATGCTTTTGTAACCAACCTTCTCGCGGCTGGCTTCTCATTGTGTCAGGCTTTGCCGCTCTATCTTCTTTTCTTTCCGCCTTTTTTCTCTTTTTTACTCCCCGTTTCGCTTCCGAAAGGGGAGAATCGTGCGCAGCCCCCTGCAGCGCTGGGAGGTTTGCGGTCAGGGGGAGCTGCTGCAGGTTTTGACTTGCGTTTCTTCCCCGTGCTCAATACCGTGCTGCTCCATTTCTTCACGTTAGTGGCTTTTGCCAGAGGAAAGGTTTTCTTCTTTCAGCCATTTCTCGCACGCCCCGCGGGGCTGGGAATGAAAAGCGAGCGGAAAAATCTGGGGGGACCCCAAAGGTTTTTCTGCGGGGGCGATCTTCCCTCACGCTCCTCTTTTCCAGGACATGACGTGCTCCCTCTGGGCTCCTGGAGCAGACCAAGGCTGTAACTCACGCTGTGTTTTTTTTTTCTTTCCTCTCTCTCCAGATCGTGGACACCTTCATTATCGGCCGCTTCGTCCTCCTGGCCATGATGAGCCTCGTCTTCCTTGGGTGCCTCTTCCTGCTCCTGATCTACCACGTCATGGAGCCGGTGTATGCCAAACCGCTCGCCAGCAGCTAGCAGCAGCCGGCGGTGGCGATTCCCACGAAGAGGAAATCCCGATTTCATGGCAATAAACCGGGAAGGGAAGCCAGGAGACCGTTGGCATCAGGTTTTTCCGAGCTTGGAAAGAGCTGGTGAAGCAAGCGAAGCATGTCGCGTGCGCCCAGCGCTGCGTCTTTCAACTTTAAAAGCAAAACTCAGACCGGGCGCAGGAGGCTCCAGGCCTTGGCAGGCTGCGGGGGTCTTGTAACCTCTCTCTTCTCTTTCACAGGAGGGGAAATCCCTGCGCTGGGTTCTGCGCTTGATTCGCTGAACTGAACTGAACCAAGATGGTTCGTTATTGTTATCCACAGGAGGCGGTTTGTTACTGTTCCTTTTTCACCTCAGTTTAATAAAACTCTCTGAGAAACCCTTGACTCGGTCTTTATCTGTTCTCCAGGAACTGCCTTTTGGTGAGGGCGTCTCTGAAAACCACCTTTTCCCGGGGTGCATGTGGGGATTCTGGAAATCGGTTGTGAGTTGTTTGGAACGGTCCCTTCGACTGGAAACCTTTGGAGTGGGGTGGAGATGCAAAATAATCCCTGAATGGGCAAACTGGGGGGGGTTAGAAAACACTTCAGGTTTTTCAGCGGTGTCGATGGGGTCAAATCGCCCTTATCTCCCTGTTTTCTCCT